TTCCTGCTGGAGAGCAAGTCATTCTCCTCCTCCAGGTTCCGGAGCTGGCTCTTCAGCTGCTGGTTCTCCAACTCCAGCTCCTTTATCCTCCTCTCTTGCTGCACAGCAGCCTCTTCCCGAGAGGCAAGGAGCTTCCGCAACTCTGACATCTGCAGCTCCAGCTCCTTCACCAGCTCAGCATACAAACCCGTAACCTTGCTGGCCTGACTGCTCATGCTGCTACCCACCACAGGAGCCCTGCTGCTCCACTGGCAGCAATCCTCAGGTCCATAATCCATGGAGGGGGACTCTGATGGTTCTGTGCTGGGCTGGTAGAGCATTGAGGCCCCTGAATGGGCAGCTTTGGGATTGTCCAAAGTCCTCATGTGTCGCAGCCCATCCTGAGGGCACCTGCTGTGCAGATCCAGGCTACTGCTCTGGAAGATGTGTCCAATGCGGGGTGGTCCATTGGTCTCCATCTCACTCAGTGCTTGAGGGAAGTGGGAGATGAGGCTAGGACTGGTCTGGGCCCCATTGGACAGCTTGGGTCTTTTCCGGCTCTTGACATCTTCCCCAAAGTGTAGCAAACCGTAGTCGGGCTTCCTGAGGCTGCTCAGAGCTCCATGGAGCTGGGTGCTAGAAGCCAACAAGAATAGAAGAAAATTATATCACAGTCTTCAGAGTCTTCCTTGTCAATGTGTTTTATGGACTACCTGCATGTGCAGAAATCACATCACCCACCAGCAAAACACAGCCACCTCCAGGATCACAGAATCATAGAAAATGAGGGTTGGAAGAGACGTCAGGAGGGCATCTAATCCAGCCCCCTGCTCAAGGCAGGACCATCCCAAACTATACTATATACTAGTCAAGACTTTGTCTAGCTGGGTCTTACTGATGTGTGGATGATGTGAGGCAACAGTTTAAGACAGCCACTTAGGCTAAGTTGTGAAGGAAAATACTGTATTCATTTGAAGCTCCCAAGGGGGATTTATAGAGGCATATAGGTATTGCTGGAACTCCACTGATGCTGGGGGTTAACTCTGCAAAAAGTTTGTGGCTTTAAATCCAATACAAAAGCCAGCAACCTCTGCCCCAACTTGCACCAGCGTCAAGGCAGTTTAGCACTTCTGAGACCCAACTCCTCCTTCTGACACAGGGGACAGAACATCCCCTGCTGAATCACCAGCACTTCAGTGTTCTTTGGCATCTCACAACCAAAGACCCAGTCAGCCAGGCCCTGCTCAGCTTGTGAGCTGTAACAAGGACAAAGAAGCTTTCCATACTCCTCTCAGTGACCAGGATTTTATTTTCTGTCTAGGTGAAGAGATACCCTCACCACTGCAGCATTAGAACACCTCATTGTTATCAATGGACTGAACCCTCAGAGCATGCTGCAAGGTGGAGAGATATCATCCCTGTTTCAGGGAACCGAGGTAGTGGGCATTCAAAGTGACTCATTCAAGGGGCTTGTGGTAGAGACAGGTATACAGGGCAAACCTCCCAAGTCCCAAGCCAGCTGCCCGCACTACTCCATCCCTCCTACCTCTCAGACATTGTTATTCTTCAGCCTTCAGCCCCCTTCCCACCTGCACTGTGCTCCCCCAGCATGAGGAAAATACATTTCAACCCACGAACTATATGCTGGTGTCATATAGCCGCTCATGGGTAAAGAGTCTAAAAGCAAGGGTCCCATTTGCTGCTAACTCCTCCTGGCAGCTTGCAGGACTCACAATTTACTCTTCGCTTAAACTCACAAGAGGTGCTGACCAGCAGCTGCAGATATGAGAGGCAGTTCTCTGACGAGTGACATCTCTACTTGAGATGCACCAGACCCAAACCAGTGGCTGACCCGTGGAACTGGGGGGGCTAAAGTAGGGAATGCAAAATGTTGCCTCTCGATGTCCAAGTCAAGCCTGGCCCAAGCCAGTAGTGACTGATGCTTAGTACCTTCTGTTGGCTGGTTAGGGAGTTAATGAAAGGAGTTTGGGGCTCTCAGGATGGTTCTTATTTGACAGGTGTCCCCTGCACAAAAGTAACCATCAAAACCAGAAGTCTCTGTGACGAGCAGCCTGTGGAGACTGAACTCCTTTCACCAGTACCAGGGGGGTCCTTCCAGCTTGCCCCTGTGCTGTACAAAGAGGACCTCATTGCTGTCAAGCCCCACCCTCTGTAGTGGTGAGCGCTGGGTGAAGTCCCCTACACCAAGCCCTCCCCTGTACCTGGCACACTCCAGTGGGGCATGTCTTTGGGATTCCGGGAGCTCCAACTCCTGGGACTGCTGGAAGCCAGGGCTGCAGAGAGCAGCTGCACCCTCCAGCCCTGGCTCAGGCACCTTGAATGGTAGGTGACCATCTGGCTGCTCCCCATCTCCCATCCCTTGCTCCATGGCCTGGAGTTGGCTCTGTGGAGCCTGCAGATCAGTGGCACCATCAGACATCAGCTCTCCTAGTCACAGTGTCCAGCCCAGATGGAACATGCTGGAGGAGAGGGAGGGAAACTCTTCCAGCTAAGACAGAGAAGAGAGAGAAGGGGGGCGGGGGGAAACATGAGCAGGAGAAAGAAACTGGGAGAGCGCTGTGTAAAAATACGTGGCTTTTTATCTGGCACTGTCTGGCACGCTTCCCACTATTCCCTTTGATCCAGCTGTTCACACGCATGCACCTTCTCCCCGTTCAGGACTAGTTTAGCTCTCCATTCTCCTCTCTGGCATCCCTGTTGCCCTCTTCCCCTTCTCCCTGCTTCATCCTCTCCTCACTCATCTGCCTCCACACTCCTCTGTCTCCTCTGCCCACTGCCCCCCTGTCTCCCTCCCCTCCTTCCCCCACATCAGGTCCTCCCCATCAGCCCCTGCCCTGACCATCCCGTGCCCCTGTCCATCCCTCTCCCCTGTCTAGTGCCCCCTGCCCTGTCCACCACCCCCTCCCCTGACTGCTCTGCCAGTCTCCCCTCCTGTCTCCTCTCCCATCCACTTCCCCCTGGGCTCCTGGCTAATCCTCACCCACCCCTTGGCCCTGCCTGGTCTCCTCCTTCACCCCTGTCTGCTCCCCACCATGTCACCTGTCTGAGCCCTGCCTGGACCACTCTCCTTGCCCCGTCTGGTCCCCCCTCCACTCAATTCCCCCTGACTAGTCCCCACACTCCCGCCCCCTGCCACCCTATGCACTGCCCCTTCTCTGACCCTCCCCCCGGGTCTCCCCTCCCCGGGGGACACTGTACCTTTAACAGCCCCTCCATGTGCCTGTTTACAGCCCTGACACCATTTCCTGGTCTCCAGGTCCCGCCCCTCGCTGCGTCCTTATTGGCTGCAACCGGCCCCCTCCCTCTCTCTCGTGATTGGACCCTTCTGCAAGCCTTCTTATTGGCTGATGGAGGTGAGCACCGTGGGGGCGGTGACCTTAATCCACTTTAGGGGCCGTGTCTCGAGTCCCACCCCCGAGGGGCGGGGCCATGCTCGGTGACGCGAAAAGGAGGGGGCTGCGCGTTTGGGTCTCCCTCGGCTCCTGTTTCTCGGGACAGGCACCCGCGCAGGAGCGCGTCATGGACCTGGGGGCGCTGCGGAAGAGTTACAGGCGCGACGAGGAGGTAAAGTTGGGGGAGGCATCTGGTGGGGGAGGGGCAGGAGAACGCGAGGGGCCTGAGGTGGGCGGAGCTGGAGCTGGAGCCTCGCTTCTGTCCGGGGGGTCCATGACGCTGCGGGGGGGGGGCGGGACCGGGACCTCGCGCCTCGTTCCTGTCCCAGCGGGGGTCGATGCCG